AATGTCCCTGGTGGGGTGACAGTTAAGATGGCCTGGCCTTGTGCTGAGCAGGGGACACTCCAAGGTGAATGCCCCGCCCTCCTTCTGCTCTGAAAGGCCTTACAGCCAGCATTTACTGGGCATCACCTCATGTGGAGGTGGGGGTGGGTGTCCAGGGTGCAGATCTCTGTGAACTCACAAGGGTATAAGTTCCTGGCAGTGGGGGACTTAAGTGACTCTGTCCCCTGAGCCACACTCGAGTCTGACAGGATTCAAAGTCATTAAGAAAAAGCAAAAGGAGTTGTCGGGTCTGGGCAGGGCCAAAGGGCACATCCAGCTTGGGAGTATGAGAGGAGAGCCGGACTCTGGTCATCAGAACTCCAGGGCACCCCAGAGCTACAACCTGGGGTGCTTACCTGCTCTCAATGTCACACTTCTCTTGACTGTCCAGCTTTGGGGGGCTGGGCATGGGCTCACTGCTCACAGAAGAAACCTGGGTGGGGCATGCCTGGGATGGGGAGGGTACCAGAACAAATGACTCCTTGCTGGCATGGGCCACCCTGTCTTCCCCACCTGGGCCTGGACACATGGCTTCCTCCTCTGTGCCTCTACCTACCTGCCTATGAACTGCTGGGGTTTGAGTCCCCATTCCCCTTCAAACCTTCTCTGAAAACGCTCCTCCTCCCGGGCACTCTGAAGCCCCTGCCATCTGGTCTCTCTCGTGTCCTTTGGCACTGCAGGGCCAGCCCTTGGTCAGGGAGCCACTCCTGCATGGGGGTGCTTCCTGCAGGGGAGGGCCCAAGGTGGAGCTTCCAGTGGCTCTATCCCCCAAGCCCAGCCTGGGATCTGAGTGCGTGGGGGAGAGGGGGAAGGCGGGAGAAGAGAAGGGAGCGACTTATGGGTGCCTCACTCCTCTGCTCCCGTCCTGTTCTCTCCTACCCGATCCTCCCTGTCTCAGCGCAGCACTGGGGGCTGGGAGTGGGTCCCTCAGGCTGACCAGGAGCGGGCCTCAAGTCCAGGGACCACACCTGGGTCCACTGTGGCCCCTCCCATGGGAGCCAGGCCTTTTGCAGGGCTCACCCCCTTCCTCCCCCTGCTTTCCAAACCACTCCAGTGTGGCCTCTGGTCTCGATGGAGTCTGTGGGACAGAGAGGCTGTGCCATGTCAGATGCCGGGCAGGAGGCACCAGAGAACAGGGGCTGGTCCTGCAGCATGAACCTTCCTGTTTCTGTTTTCTGAGCATCTTGGCCCACCTGGCTCACACTTCTGCCTCATCCCTGTGGAGTGACCAACTGTCCGGCTAGGGCCCAGCCTGAGGGCGGGGGCAGCCCTTCCCTTCGGCAGCCTTCCCTGAGGGATGGTGGGGAGGCCACCAAGTGGGTGCTGGTCCCATTGGGTGTTGACGTGGCTGTTTGGACTGTGGGTCTTCCAGGCAGACCAACGAGCCGTGCCAACCGTCGCAGCCGTGGCATCGTGGAGGAGTGTTGCTTCCGCAGCTGCGACCTGGCCCTCCTGGAGACTTACTGCGCCACCCCCGCCAAGTCCGAGAGGGACGTGTCGACCTCTCCGACCGTGCTTTCGGTGAGGACCTGGAGGAGGGTGGGATTTTGGGTGGCTGAGCCTAGCTTTTAGCAATTGAGACTTCTTAGCTGGGGATGAGAAAGTGGCCCGTTTCTTGACTTGGGGTGTCATGGAGGGCCCCCTCTGCCTGTGGATAATAGCTCTAGGGAGTTGCCTTGAGTGGGGTGGGGTGAGGGTGGGGGTGGGA